TCTTACAGAGCCTTTAGAAGGCCCTGTAATTACCGTTTTGTCTTTTTTAGAGCGGTCGAGGGAACCCCGCCGCTCCTTTGGCGCAGTCTGCGCCGGTGCAGTTGATGTGTCCATCGCCTCAGGAGAGATGACAGATAATGTTTTCGTTGTAGGCTTTGTCATGACAGACGGAGCCTTAAACCCCACCGGGCTGGAGGTCGAGGGGACCTCTTTAGTTTGTGTGGTGCCCTGGCTACTGCCAAGGTTCACAGGGGCCTTCGGTGGGGCTGTATTCAAGGAGAGTGGGGCAGCCGAGGCTGCTCCCCCCATGGGGGCTTGTGGCGTTTGCCTCGGCACGCTGTGCGTGGTCCAAGGCATTGCCGAAAACCGATGTGGTGCTGACCTCCCTCGCACCACTTCGGCATACGTTGTGTTCCCAGCAAAATGTGGGGAGACGCGCTGCCGCGCTTCACGGAAACTTATGTTCCATTTAAACTTTGTAATAATAATTTCTTTTTTCATTTTCCAGGCCACGCATGACCTGGAATATGCAGGATGGTCACCCTCACAGTTTGCGCAGTGCACTTGTAGCTGACAGTCATTGTCAGCGGTATGACCTTTCGTGCCGCATTTCGCGCAGGTAATCTGTCCTCGGCAGCTCTGAATGCTGTGCCCGAACCTCTGACACTTAAAGCAACGCCGCGGGCTGGGTATGTATGGTCTAACTGGCAGTTTAAGATATCCTGTTCCTATTTCAGTGGGGAGGGTGCTAGATGCGAAAGTTAGTATGACGTGCTTCGTTGGGAGTTCCTTATTTTTTCTTCTTATTTTGATACGCTGCACCTGAATGACGTTTTCCTCTTTCCAGCCTGTTAGAAGTTCATCATCAGAGAGGTCCATCAGGTCTCTATCTGTGACAACACCCTTCACTGTGTTCATGGTTCGATGCGGTGTGATTGTGATAGACTGATCCCCAAATGCTGTGAGTTTATGTAGTCTTTGGTACTGTGCGTTGTCTTTTATTTCAAGTAACAGGTCACCACTGGCGGTCTTTGTGGCCATGTAGCCTGCGCCCAGCGTTTCTATGAGACATTTGGACAAAAGGAAAGGTGAAATACTTCTAGCTTTCTTTTCTGTACTTTCACAGTGGATAATGTGGTACTTGGGGAAGTTATCTTTTTTGTTTGGAACAAATTCAAAAATTGATCGGTGCGTACCCGCTTTAAGCCGGTACGATCAGACATTAGGGGGAATGCTCCATGCATGCCTTTCTTATTTTTGTTCAGCAGCGTTGGCGGCCACCCACCACGGAGCCCAACGAGGGGACGCGACAAGTTTACAGATGCTGAAAACTGCAGACGCCAGCCGTACAACGCCACTATAACCCAATGCGCCTAGACCAAGGTAGGCTATTTGCACAGGGTTAACCCTAGCCGCCAGGTAGTTTGGAAGTAAACGGAAGAGAGGAGAAGACAGGACAGATAAATAGTAAGAGATAAAGACGAAGATGCAGGGAGAGAGGGATAGGAAAAGGCGACTGCCGATTTCCCCTGGGTGGGTCAGCCCAGGGGTGCCGTCTACGTGAAGCCGGGGCCAAAGGGGTGTGTTGCCTCTGCCGGGGGGCCTAAAGGTCCAATCGCCCAGCGTCAGCTCAACCCCCAGGTTCCCCTTTTCCCCGGACACGGCAAAGCCACGCACGGCTAGGCGTGGGAGGGAGTGAAAACTCCCCCGTTAGCTCGGGTCCGTGGTGCCGCTACACAACAAACGCCTTCTTCCACAGCCGCCCCTGCGGGCAAGTCCTGGTTGTCCGCATTCCGATAGATAAGCGGAAAAGGGGGTCTAAATAGTGAAAAAAAGATCATCAAAAAACGAGAAGAGAATGAGAAAGACTTCTGGCTGGACACGCCGAGTTACCGATATACGCCAGTGGAGGAAGACCTCTTCCCGGACAAGTCGTTGCAACCATAGAGTTTCCCAAAATTAACTAGAAGGCACTCTGGTGCTGTGATCGTTCAGCGACCATGGGAATGATCTAGTCTTCGTACTTGCTGGTGGCGAATCGTACTTGCGGCTTCGTTTAATGCTGTGTTTTGGTTTTGTTTTGAGAGAAATATTCAACCCTTTTGAACTTCATGACCCGATTTCGAAAGACAAGTCTAAAAAATGAAATGCTGAAGCGCAATCGCTGAACATTTGCTAATATTTGTTTCGTGAAAAAAACAACTTCAAGCCACACGAAGAAACACGGAGCCAGAAGCAGGCCACAAGTACGAATATAAGACAAATGTGTGTACTACCCATCATTCCCATGCTCGCTGAAGCGCCGTGTGTTGCAGCTCCTATAGACACTAGCGCCAGAGTTCCCTCTAGGGTATATTAGGAAACTCTATGGGCTGTATTTCAAAATTCACCGTAGATGGCTAAATAGACAGCTAAATGGACGGCGGCCATCTTAAGTGCCTTTCGAATTCTCACGTAGCCGGCGAAGTAGACAGCTCCGAGAAGACCACATCGTAGACAAATACGATGCAGGCTACTTTGCTGTCCAAACAAGATGGCGGCTCAGCGAATTGCTCAGATAGATCAAATTTAGCCAGAATGGCCGTCTGCACACAAGCAGACGAGTTGCCAGACGCTTAATGTCAGTAAAGTTTATTTGTTTTTGATTTCAACACAAAACAAGCCAGACAAAACAACTGTTACGATGGTTTCTTTTTGCTTTTTCTTCTCGACGCGAGGTGGAGCATCGTCGCGTAAAAGCTGTCTTGACGTGTTTCGATTCTCGGACAGCATGGGCTTGGTGCGGTCTTTAAAGCAGTCTGCGTATACAGTCTACGTGCTGTCTAAGAGTTTGAACACAGCCATGGTTGCAACGCTGGAGGCTACAAACCAGGCTTCGCGACTTCAGGCTTCCCGACCTCGCATTTCAAGAATTCTGTGTGGAAGCGTTGGTAACTGGGCGGCATCGAGGGCTTACCAGTGCTCAAAAATTGATATGCGGGGTTTAACGTCTCAAAACTGCCATCTGTTTATGACAGACGCCGTAGTGGAGGGCTCCAGAAGTTGTTACCACCTGGGGTTGTTTAACATGCACCCAAATCTAAGCACACAGAGATACAACACTTTCGCCTCCATCGAAAATTCATCCGCCGTAGCAGGGATTTGTTCCCGCGACCTGCGGGTCAGTGGCGGAGTACCTTAGGGACTAGAACACCACGGCGGGGTGACTTATTAGTGCTCAAGGAACGACAAGTGGCAAGGATTTGAGAGAAACCGTTGACCCGCAATACGCTGGTTGTGGAACTTGTAGCACCGGATAATATCGCACCGTTACTCAAGATTAAAGATGCCTTCGCGAGAACTGGAGATGCTAGATTTCAACGCGCGAACCATTTCGACATGGTGACCTCGACAGAGGGGAGCCGGATAGCAAGGACGACAAGCCAAAGAAGAGTGCACGAACTTAATGGTACGCAAACTCGCCTTCACCCTGTACACTGCTCTCAACATGGTCCTAAAGAGCAACTTGCCGCCAAGATGTCTGCAGCACGATGACAACTTCAATCAAGTAGATATTGCATCTCATCTTTAAGAAACTGGTATAGAGAGAGGTGTATCGTGCAGCCTACGCATGTGTTGCACGTAGTAGCTAGCTTGCATTTACGGACAGTACAAATTAGCCTGCACGTACCGCTGTTGTCAATGGCTATATATACTGGAGTGCGTGAAAAACAAAGCACTTTTTAATTATTGCGTTCGAGCTGACCTATACACCTGTTACCGCTAAATTTTGATGCCCATAAACAACCTAAATCTTGGCACTCAAACGATAGTGCTTCCCTCTTGAGTTGTCTATGTCACCTAGTTAATGCTGCATATTGTCTGCTTGCACGATCACACCTGCCTTCTGTTCACGTGAGGCACTGCTGCGATACGTTTCCCTCACTCTGATTAGTATGGTTTTTGAGATAGTATTGGAGTTTCTGAGCGTCCTCCTCCCCCCCCCCGTAAAGTGACATTTACCTTTATATACATGAGGTTGCCTTACCGGACTATTTCCTTGAACAATTGTCGCATTGGATTTACACTCGTTTATAACGCAAACATCGAATATATAACAAAAAAGAACAAATAGTTTTGTGACGATTTGGTCTATTTCTGCCACGCAACACAAAATACTTTCGCTTCCTTTTCTTCGCGCGCAGGTTTTGGCTATCTTTTACTTGACGCATCGTCTTTTGACTGTCATCCTCTAATCTATCGGTGTCAATACTGCAAGAGTTCGTTACAGATATTTCCGACTACTGTGAAATCCTTCACGTAGTCGCGTGGCCACTTTCTATCAATTGATTAATTGATCTATGTGTGGCTTGACGTCCTAAAACCACCCTATGATTATGCATTGATTGATATGTGGAGTTTAACGTCCCAAAACCACCATATGATTATGAGAGACGCCGTAGTGGAGGGCTCCGGAAATTTTGACTACCTGGGGTTCTTTAACGTGCACCCAAATCTGAGCACACGGGCCTACAACATTTCCGCCTCCATCGGAAATGCCGCCGCCGCAGCCGGGATTAAATCCCGCGACCTGCGGGTCAGCAGCCGAGTACCTTTGCCACTAGACCACTGTGGCTAGGCCCCTATGATTATGCAAGACGCCATAGTAGAGTGCTCCGGAAATTTCGACTACCTGGGGTTCTTTAACGTGCACCCAAATCTGAGCACACGGGCCTACAGCGTTTCCGCCTCCATTGAAAATGCAGCCGCCGCAGCCGGGATTTGATCCCGTGGCTTACGGGTCAACAGCCGAATACCTTAGCCGTTGTACTACCGCGGCGGGACCATTTTCCACAAATGTAAAGGGTTTTTTTGTGATCACTTGCTTCCGCACCGGAGATCTGAAAAGTTTTTAGCCGAGTTCTTTGCCATATGAACATTGAACAGCATAGCACTTCAATGAATCAATTGCTTCTTGGATATCCAGCAGTTGCCAATGAAAATGGTAGTTCATTATTTACCCCGTTTGTTGGCGTCTTTCTGCTGGAGCCCGTCTTCTTCCTTGCACTCTGCGTTCGTCAGGAGGTGAACGAAATCAGTCTCTTCCTGAAATGAACGCGTGGGAAGAAAATCAGTAATCAGTCGGCTAATGCGAGTACTATTCTATATTAGCAAAGCCATGTTGATTTTTCATTTTAAGCAAGAAACATTTATTATTACTGGCAAAGCAAGGACATAGCCTTGCAAGAAAACAGTCATCGGTGAGCCCTGCTAACGCGGTTCGCGTCCTAGAGCAACGCGAGAGGCGTCCGTGTGTGCCACATTCAACGCGCATTGGCGTCGCAGAGATGCGCAGTCGGCGTCGGACAATAAGCGTGTGCACGGACGAGGATATAAAAAGCGCGTCGCGTGTTCGCTCAGGGCTTCTCTCTGGCCTTCGTTACGGCTGGTGCTGTCTCATGGCGTTGCTCTTGCAAAGGCGCGTCTGCTCGCCTAGTTGCCAAGTTCTGTAACTGTGTAAATAGATTGTCTATTCTTTGTGTGAACAAGAAGACTCGCAAGTGTTCCTCCTTCCTCGGCGCCTGGCTGGACAGTCTGTAGCCCGCTCCTTGGTCACATCAACTTGTTGGCAGCGGTGGGGTTCGGTTGGATTCGGTGCTGTTCTTTCCTGGTGCCGATTTTGGTGAGTGCTCACTTTCTCAGAGATTCTACCAGGTGTTTCGAATAGATGGTGATGTCTTTCTGAAAGGGTAGGTTGGTTACTGCTTTGTGAAGGCAGTGTTTAGCAAGATACCTTCACAAGAGTCAAAGCCACGGAAGTCTGCACTAGGTGACCATGAATTTGCACACGTTAAAGAAACCAGGTTTAGTACTTTTGTGTGAGGAGCTAAATATTGAGGTAGCGAGGATACACAGGAAGCCGAATTTAACACAGGTGAGTGAGGATTCCGGCGCCGATGCGGAGAGGCTCTGCGATAGTTGAGGGCCCGTGCATGCCAGGCGTAAGGAAGCCGATAAACTAGGGTGGCTTGTGCTTGAGAGAGAGCCCGCCAGGCGTAAAGAGGAAGCTGCAGCCCATGAAAGAGTAATGGAGCGATTGATGCTTCCGCTTCGCAGTCTTCTGGCGAAACGTGCCGGTGGTCAGGCCACCGTAAACGAAATGATTCCGATAGACCAAACAAGATAAGCTTGGAAGGTGCGGCTGAGCTAGCTGCTGAGTACAGCGTCCAGCGCCAGTCGAAGATAACAGGCCTCACAAGCGTGGCCGAAAACAAGGATGACTCGCTTGTGGAGGAAGGTTTATCTCGGCATAGGTTATATGAGGTACCTCCGACGGAGCAAGAAGAGTATGCAGACGCACTCCCCAAAGCAGAATGCATACAGCCAGAGGTGCTGCAGTCCGCAGATAGCGAAGTGCATAGGCAGGATTGTCATAATGAAACATTGAGTTGTGCGGAATGCAACCATAAAAGCGCAGAAAGTGACGCAGGAGGTGATAAAATGAAGAGCCGAGCTCCTTCAGTGAGATGAAGCTACTGTATTGTCGGTGGTTCCTCGGGTTACAGAGTTCACATCCTGGAGGATATTTAGTCCTTCGCGTTTTAAGCTGGAGGAATGCGTGCGTATAGAGGTAGGGGTCGATCGAACGCTCCCATTTTTGTGCGTATTGAAAGAAGTTTTTTTTTGGTTGGAACCCCGGCGTAGCTGTGCTCGGCAGGGTGATTACTTGAAAGGTCCGGGTGGTCTAACGCGGGTTTTGGGACATGTGTAACAAATAACTTCTTTTCTAGACGACCATTTGCCTAGACTTTGTTAAGCGTGCGAAAAGGTAAGGTTCACCAGTCTGCTTTGAAATGCAATCCCGTGAGCCTTAATTTAAACTGGTCACCACCATGCTGCAGGCTTCCATGTTGAAAAAAGTGCCGCCACATCCACGAAGTGAATGATGATGAGTGGGCGAAGCTCCGGAGGTAAACCTGGTAAATCATGAATCCTCCGTACATTTTGCCCACTCGATTTTATTGCAACGCTCCCCCTAGCGTACGTCGCCGCACTATATCGAACGATGACACGCGCCATATGTGGCATCATTCCTATTTTATAACACCTCGCATCTTTCATAATCAACTACACGTACCGCCGTCTAGTTTATAACATCTTGCATCTTTTGGACGGACGGACGGACGGATGGATGGACGGATGGATATGGCTGTACCCTTTAGATCGGGCGGTGGCTAGCGTAATACTTAATGCCGTCAGCTACAAGTACCGCCATCTAGTGAACACTGCAAGAACTGAACGAGAGGTGGCTACATACAGGGGACGCACAGCCCACGCCTTAAGGAGCTTCGCTCCTAAAAGTTAAGCAGGCAGCCCAGAAGTAAGTTCACAGCTTGTGATCTTTGAGAAAGCGAGGACTTCTCGCTGGCAGTGTTGGGTTGCAGTGCACTGCTTTGTGCTTGAGCCACGTAAAGTCAAGCTACACCTACTGGCCCCACATCTGAGCAAGGAGGGCACGACGAACCAGACTTTGGACTGCGGCCTTTCTGCTGGGCTTCGTGCCGTGATCGAGTAGGGAACAGCCAGGCGGCAGTGACCGCGCCAGGGCAGCTGTTGAGCTGCATATTCGAACCCAGCGTGCATTGGTGTTCGGTGGATTTCGGCGACGCCGAAATGCGCTTGTTGTGCGACGTGCTCTGTGCGGTGTGTGTGTTTCGGTGGACAAACGGTGTGACGCGTATGGACAATGTTCACGGATCATGAACATACAAGGGTCACTTTAGAGAGCAGCGGCACTGCAGCCCTTACGTGACCTATTCGAGCGGCGGACGAGTTGTTATGACTGGCAGAGCAAAAATATAGCCCTGCAAGAGGCAGTCATCGGTGAATCCGGCTAACGTGGTCAGCGTCCAGCAGCAACGCGAGAGGCGTCCGTGTGTACCACATCGAACGCACATCAGCGTCACCAAGACGCGCAGTCGGCGTCGGACATAAAGCGCGCGATCGGACGAGGGTATAAAAAGCGCATCACGTTTGCGCTCAGGGCTCTGTCGGTGGCCTTTGTTACGGCAGTTCGTGTGTGATGGAAAGGCGCGTCTTGACGCCTAGTGTATTGAACTCCTATAAGTATGTAAATAAATGATGTGTTCGTGTCATCAAGAAGCTCGCAAAGGTTCTTCTGTCCTGGCGTTTGGGTGTCTGCTTGTGCCCCGCTCTTCGGGAACATTCCATAGTGTTTTGACTGCATCTGTTCATCTGTCTACAATCAACGTTCTACACTCACGTGGTTGTTTGATGGGTGTATATGAACCATCATGTTGCATGATAAGAGTATATTACGAACAAAAATGACAGCACCTGATGAAAATGAGGCCACAACTCAAGAACGGATAGCCAATAGGGGTTTTAGGGGTTTATTGGCCATTTTATTTTTTACACACCAGCATTGCCACAGTGGGCGTTACTGCAAGGAGTGTAGGGTTGCTTTTAAAAAAACGACATTCACGCTCACAAAATGCCGTAAAACCCATACTTGTCCAAAATTCTCACAATAACAGGTGATAGAGCATTCTGTTGTCTGAAGGGGCTTGCAGAAAATTCATGCCCGAGAATATCACCTCCGAAAAAAAAATTCTGAACATTTCAGTGCATGGCCGCGTTTCGACGGCACACTAGTGGGTAACACGCCTTTCTCACTCAATGTTGGTTTTATAATTGTAAAAACAATAAAAAAGTCAGTGAAATCTATTTACACCGTTCGTCCAAGGCGTCTCACGATAATTTACGGTTGCTTTGCATCAAGCATATTTTATATTGTAACTGTTCAGTACAAACGTGCCTTCTTATTTGGCACCTTTTAAACTGCTCCAAAAACAGCTGTGCGCAGATTCCAGCAAACACAACCATAATCAACATACGTAAAATGCAGTTGCTCTTTGAATTTTTCCCGTGAATGTAGCATATTGCACCTGAATTATCACCGGTACCTGTACATGGCTGCCACTACGCATGTCTGAAGCCAAGAACAACCCTCTGAATACATGAGCAGCTTAGAGTAAAACATTCACGTTGAAACTTGCCGTGTGTTACATGGAGTTAGAAATGGGTGACCGTTTGATACGACGGGTTATATCGACAGTGTATATTGGTAGACAAAAAAACGCTGCAGTGCGATCCGCCGCCCCAACTTTGCAAAAATGGCATCCTCAATAATTCAACCACGGACCCCCTATATCCGACCGGAGATGCCTCTTTTAGTTGGGCTATATTGTCAAGGTGTCGAAAAAAATGAAGAAGGGAGCAGACAGTAGATCGAGGATTAAACTGTTTATGCAGCCGAATCAGTGGGTACGTTGAAGGAAATTGAGATCACAACAAGACACTGGCACTAATATCGGTGAACTGAGCGCCAGCCATAGATCACCTGACAAATGGCGAAGCGTGTCAGCATTCATACAATTGCCATCAAACATTCTAGCGTTATCGCAAACAGCGACGTAGGCTCTAGCATATTCTGAAATGCTCACGAAGTGGGCGTAGTTTCGACAAAATGATCTACTGCAGTCTTGTAGCTTCTCGAACTCTGTAGGAGTGGTTTGCGCTGAGAGAGAGAAAGAGAGATAAAGATACAAGGAAAGGCAGGGAGGTTAACCAGACGCACATTCGGTTTGCTACCCTGCACTGGGGAAGGGATGAAGGGGAGAAAAGAGGTTGCAGAGAGATTGGAAGGTACACACAATCACGAGCACACTCGGGGAGCACACACAGTCTACAGGTGGTCGCTCAGGTTTGTTGACTTTAGGTAAAGTAGCAGTGCTTTAGTTGCTTTCTGCGCAAGTGAGGCAGATGCCCAAAGTCCTAGTATCTTCTGCACACAAAATGGTCCGGGGTCAAGTTGATTCAAAACCATCCGGAGCTGGCATCGCTGTGTGTCGTAGCAAGCGCAGCTGCACAGGACGTGTTCGATGGTCTCTTCAGCTCCGCAGTAGTCGCATGTAGAAGTGTCTGCCATACCAATGTGAAAGGAGTACACCTTTGTATATGCAACACCCAACCAAAGGCGGCATAACAGTGTCGCATCGGAGCGGGAAAGTTGTGATGGTAGC